ACACAAACTAAAATGGGATAGGAGAGGGCTGAAAATACATTTATTTCAAAAAGACTGCAGGAAAATTGCATAGAGCAGCACTGTGATGTGGTCTAACAGCGACGATACAAGGAAAGGACCCGGGAACAGGTTGTGTTAACAACTTCCACACCTGCTTCTCCCAGCAGTGGGGCACAAATTTCTCACCTTACAGCTCTGTAAAAGACCGCTGAGGAGCAGAGCACTGCTCCTGAGAAACAGCTCCACTAGTATCTCTTCTGTTTCCCCCGCGCAAGAAATAAGCTTATTTCTAGGAATGTTCTGAGAAAGAGCCACTGGGCACAGAATAGTGGGGAACATGCACAGAAAGCAAAATAAACACACACATGGTGTTTCCATGAATGCAAAAGCCAGTGTGTGGAATTAGCTGGAATCCCAGCACAGGAGAGCTGGTGCTGTGCAGGAGACCTGGTCAGAACTGAACTGGAGCAGAAAAGAAAGACAAGACATGAACATAAAAGATCTGATGTCCTTAGGACCACGGAGGGAAAGGAGTAACAACCTGCGACATGTGAAACAGGCACTGCCCACCTTCTAATGGTGCAGAATAGTCCTTGGTTATTTAGGTGATTTATGAGATAACAAGTCTGAAACAGGCCAGCAGCATCCTAGGATCCCAATTTGTTATCTTGGCAACAGTTTAGTGCTTAACAAGAGAGGCCCCATGGCCCCAGGTCACACATTTCTCAATGTAATTTCTCTCAGAAAAACATACAGACGAAAATTATTTATACTGATAAATAATAAACTTGAAGAAGAGTTTGTCTTTTTTTTCTGACCTATGACAACAAACTCTGAATGATGCACAAAATAAAAATTCCCTGTCCAATTCACAGAGAAGAAAGGGACGGTGTTGTTTTCAGTGTGTGAAGAAAGAGATGCCTAATTTCAAGCAAAGGAGACAGCCCAGAAAGTTCACCACACCCAGCAGGCATTCAAAGATTATCAAACAAGCACTCCAGGAAACTCAAGTATGTTCTGAAGTTGTTTAAGTTTCCTTACTGCTTTCAATGCACCATCCCTTAGGCTAAACTTCTTATGCAGTCAGCGAGCTGGAGCTTGTACAAAGGGATTTTGTTTCACACAAAAAAAAAGAATCCAAAAGAAAAAAAAAAACCCTAAAAACTAACTTAAAGCAGAAAAAAAGGAAAAATATCCCAAAGATCTTTCTAGATATTTGGAAGGGAAACGTGAAACAGCCCTCACCTTCCCTTCATCTTTTTGTCTATTACAGATTTTCTTATGAGATAGGCCTTGCCAGAAGCCAGAGGCAAACCCAAACCCTGATCCTGTACTGACTTGTGTGTCTTAGGCTTGATCCAGCCCTGTGCTGAGCATCTGACACCGCTTTGCATGCCTCATTTCCACCGCTTAATCTTCCCACAGAAGAGGCCAGTGGGACTGCTCAAGGGTTGAAAGGTACATGAGGGTTCAGCAGAAATCATACTCAGCATAATTTTGTTAACACACTTTGCACACTGATGATTAAAAGCAGGGTGTTGTCACCTACCCCAACATTTATGATCACAGAAAATGAGGATTAACAGTCCCTAAAGGTATTTGAGTCTTCTACCTTACATCTTCCAGTTGGCACTGATGGAGGTTTGAAACCATGACTAGTTTGGGAGCAGGTTTATTTCTGGTCATTTGAAAGTATCATATGACAAGAAGCTGGAAAATATTGTGCAATTTGGAGAGGCTTGCTAATTTAGCTATTGATTCACTTTTCTCTTTCCTGGCTGTTTTCTAAGTACTTGCAATCTAATAAAATAATTGGATTGCTGATAATGTGTCGACTGCAAATGTTGAGAAGCTCACACTAAATCATGAAAACCCTTCAAGAGCTCTCCCTCACAGGTGACCTGACGTGTCCTGCACTTGGGCTCACACATGTCTTCACTCACACGGGTAGCATTAACGGAGGCTGTTACTGGAATCGGGGGAAGTGATAAACATCCTTTCATCAGGACCCTGAGCAACTTGAGCCAACTTTGAAGGCAGCTCTGCTGTGTGCTGGGGGCAGGGTGAGCGGATTAGACAGCCTCCAGAGGCTCCTCCCAGCCAGATTTTTTCTATATTTGATTTAATACCTGGAGTTTTCTTCCCCATTCCTCCGCAGGAGAGGGAAGTCTTGCTTCCCTGCTCCGTGGCAAAACCGGAAAACCAGAACGCATTCCTGTGCTTCAGCTCTTCCTGTTCAGGCCAGCTTATTAATTAAAGTTCACTAGTGCAAACAGGTTTGCACAAAAGCACTGGCCCATGGACTGGAGCACCTCACCTACAGCCGGGGTCCCAGCACACTCCACATGAGAAGAGGCAAAGCAAACAACATCCCAGCCCACAGTGACCACACTCGCCAAGGGATGGCCACTGGGTCCTTGATCTCAGCCCTCAAGAGTGCATAGGATCTGGCTGACAGGACACTACATTTTTCCATCAACCTACTTAAATTACTGAACTATTCGTGAGAATGCACAGAAAGGTAATGAATGACTAGAAGAGGGAAGAAGTCTGTGATTTACAAAACTATTAAGTTTTCCAAACATACCATTCTTTCTAGTGAGTAAACGCATTACGATTTTTGTGTAAGTATCTTTCATTCCTACCTCCTACTAACAACAAAGTTTCTTCCTCCCTAACTGGTCAAATATTAAGAAAAATAAATCAGGAACACCCTGTAGTTCAAAGGGAAAACACTTCAAAGTGCCCTTCTTTCTCTTCTTACTCCCTCTCTTTCTAACAGCCACACTTTAACTCACATTTACCCTTGACATCTTAATCAGCCACAGTATTGACTAACTTTCTAGTGACAAAACACACAACTGAGTCCAAACACCCATAAAAATGTTAAATAATGATACCCTAGTGTAGTAACTTCCCAAATCTCAATCTTTTAAAAAATGAATCCTACATTCTGTGATTCAACAGCAGAAGGGCCTCATAGATAAACCAATGGTATCAGAAGCAGACAACACAGAGGCTGCAGTTTATTCCAAAGACTATCTACTATTTATTTCATTTTTACTTCTCTATGCAAATTTATAAAGAGAAAAAAAAAAACTAAAGAGAAAAAAAACTACAGAGAAGACCTCATAATCATTTCTTTGTTTTTTGTTATAGTGCTTTCTTGTCCTATTGTTGTCCTAACAAAATTTTTGTTAGCTAACAAATGCATTTAAACAGATATTGCTATTTTACAGTTTTTACACTTTTTTTTATACTGCACTTTTCATGTGAATAGAGTTTCTCCTGCTGCTTAGGGATTTGCAGGATTGGGACCTCACACTTCATACTGTTTATGTAAGTTCCTCTTCCTACTCTGCTACAAAGAAAATGTGTATACTGCAGCAACAGACTTAAAAATAAAAGTCACAACCCATAAAGAGAGAGCTTTGGACATAGTAATGATCTGCTTAAAGATATTCAAGCTGCTTTCAGGGTTAATCAGTTGCTGCTGTAATAGGCACTCCATATTTTTGTATTGAAAATGAGGAAATATTTTGTGATTGCCATTCAGGTTATCAAGAAAAAAATATTTACGTTCACCCAAGCAAGGCAAATTCAGGAAACAAAAGCTTGTGATAAGGATCTAATTGCATCCTCAAAGAACAGAGAAGGAACATGAGCTTGGCCACAATAGGAGGGCGAGTCCAAATCTGCAGATGGTCCTATATCCTCCCTCTGACAACACCCAAATCCAGATGTTTAGGAAGAGCATAGGAACAAGCAGAGCACAGTGACGTTTCATAGACTCAGAAGATAATTTAGCAGGTATGTGACTCCTGGAGGTCATCCAGTCCGACCCCTGCTCGCGCGCGGCTTCCCGTTCTGACGCCTGCCAAAATTCTCACCAACTTGAGCAGCTTTCAGGTCAGGAATTTCCCCAGCCAGCAGCAACATCTTTCCAGCTTCTTCAGTATCACAATCAGATATACTCAGGCTCCAGGAAGCCCCTGCTTTACCAGCCCTTCAGTTCTTTACCTTAAAACCTGCTGATTTAGGTACTGTGAGCGCCCAGCTGCGCAGCTCCGGAGCAGAGGCTCCACATCCCAGCAGGGACACGGCCTGCGCAGCCTCCAGCCTCGGCCACAGCTCCAAGCGGGCCAGCTCGGTGCTCAAACACAAAAGAGCAGCCAGGGAAATCACACAGCGACTGCTCAGCTCTCTGCTGCCTTTCGTAATTCCCATGCTTATGTATACCAGTATAAAAATGTTATCTTTTGGCAAAATACAAATAATCAAACAAAAACCAAAGCATTCAGATGTCAAACGCCCAATACGGATCGTCCCAGAACCCAGGGCGCTGGGTCAATGCACGCGGTCTACTGCAGCAGCACCCAGGACCCAGCAGCACCAGCCACATCCTCCCTTTCACACAGCCAAATAAAATCTGGTTTTCCTTGTATAACAATCCCCTCAGTCCGAGCTGCAGCCTAATCCCACCAAAGCACATGGGCATCCTTCCCCTGACCGCTGGAGGAGCAGTTCCACCCAGAGCCTGAATCATCTGCAGCTTACCAACAACGACACAAAAGCACAACTTCTACCTCCCAAGTGGGGAGACTGAGGAGAGGGGTGTTTTACTCCAGGATTACCCAGCGCTTCCCCGACTCCCGGATCACACACGGCCAGCTCGGGCTCGTCCCGCCAAGCCCAAATCCCACGGGTGGCTCCCGCTACCCCACGCCAAGAGCGGCCGCACCGCAAGGCGTCTGCGTGGGCTGCTCTCCGCGGCAGAGCCCAGCGCGCCGCGCAGACGCACGTGCCCCCGCGTGCGCAGCGCCCGCCTCGACAGCCCTGGGCACCCGCCGGGCGTCGAGCTCCGCGGGCACGCGCGCCCAAGCCTGGCGGGCCCGAGGGACCTGGCCACGCAGGAGCCGCGCGCTGTCTCGCGCCGCAGGGCACTTCTCCGCCTCGCCCCACGGGCACAGACGTCCCTCGGGGTGTCGCGGGCTACTCACACGGGCACGGGCTGGCACGGGAACTGGTTGTGGGCGCACTGGTACTGGGCCTGCACGTAGCTCTCCGTCCCGTCCAGCACGGAGCAAGTCACGTTCCTCGTCACGATGTAGGCGCACCAGTTCCTGCGGGGACGAGAGCGGCGCCGTGAGCCCCCCCGCGCCCCGCGCGCCCCCCGCGCGCCCCCCGCCCCGGCGACACCGACCTGCCGCGGGCGCCCGGGCGGCCGTGGCGCAGGTGCGGGGTGCCCTGGGCCAGCCCGGCGCCCAGCGCCAGCAGCAGCGGCGGCAGCGCCCAGGCGCCCGGGCGCAGCTCCATGGGGCGCCCGCTGCCTCCTTCCCCGCCGGCCGCTCCCGCCGTCTGTCCCTCCGTCCCAGCGCCCGCCCTGGCGCCGCCGGCCCGCCCTGACGCAAGTGCCCCCCGCCCGCTCCCGCCCTCCGCCCTCAGCGCAACCCCCGCTCCCTCCTTCCCCGCGGCCCGGCCCGGCCTGGCCCGGCCCGGCCCGGCCGCTCCCTGCAGCCCCGCCGCCCAGAGCCGCCCCCGGGGCTCGGACCCCGCAGCACGGACCCGTCACCATCTCTGATCGTTTCCTTCCGTGGAGGAAACGCGTGGGGGGAGGTCGGGAGCAGCGTGGGTCGCCCCGCTGGTGCTTCCCCCGGCCTCCCATGGAGGGTCCTCGCTGTTGTTCCCCTTCCTAACAGCTCATGGAAGCTGCACAGCCCGGGCCATTACCCTTTGTGCCCATGTCCTGCCCACACCAGGAGCTCCGTCACTCCTCGTGTTCTTGTTTCGCCTTGAATAAACCAGAGTGAGCCTCAGTCTAGCGCCATACCTGGGCCAGATGCCTCCAGAGATACTGCCCGCGCACAACGAGCAAGAGGAGGAACAGCACCTTCCCAAGGAAAATCTCTACCTCATATCCCAGTTTATGCTCCTCCGCCTTTTCTTACCCTTTCAAAACTCTTGTGCTAATAAAAACCTGGTTAGGTTTATGTTAAACCAGGCAAGCTCCCTGGCATCAGTGGAGCTCCTGACAGACATTGAGCACCCTGCATCCCATGCCGTGCACCATAGCACCAGGGAGAGCATCCAGACTCACCTCTGTGGGCACAAAACGTCATCATAGCACTTAAATATTGAGAAAAACTTCTTTTACTCAAAGCCATCCTTTCTAAGAAATGTCCTTCACTGGGCAGAGAGAGAGCACTGAATGTTTGAATTCACTCAGGTATCAAAATTAATTCCAATCCTTGACTAGATTACCTGTGCAAGGTAGTCTGTAACAGGTGCCAGTACTGTATAGACCACTGCACAGGACCATCTGTCCTCATCAGCTCTACTTCTTTTGGAGAGATTGGGCCATCCCACAGACATGTTCCCATAAAGTTTTAGAGGCAGAGCCTGTCTCTGTACTGTGCTTCTGCTTGTGCTTGTCCTCATCCTGCTGCAGGCCCTGGTTATCTTCACAGCAACGATAGCTTGATGTGATGCTGCATCAGTTATTCAGACGGTGCTGCTGGCTGCAACAGGGAACAACTCTTTTTAAAAAGAGCAACCAACTCTTTTGCACATGTGTTGAACCTCAGACCAGTACCATGACCCAGGCTACCACATGGATGGAGACTTAAGGAGTCCATCAGGACGGCATGTTGCAAGAGAAGTGCATGGTGGACACATAGGAGCCCCTTATACCAGCATAGCCACTGTGTCTGCAAGTCAAGTCCTCAGAGCCACCAGGCCTAGACTCAGCAAAAATGGGAGATATGGACAATGCCAGAGGAAAAGGAAAAGAAATCGCTTGGATGGAGAGTCAAGAGGTCACATAGCTACCACTGAGTAGATGGGAGACTTACTGCTGAGCATGTTGGGTCCCAACCCTGCGCACATGCCTCAGGGCCTCCCTTGGCCACAGCAGCTTCTTTGGCTCTCAAGGTTTCCCCCGAGCAAAGTAGGCAGCAGATCCATATCTGTTCTTCTGCTCTAGTCATCTAGTTATCTGCCCAGACCTGCCTAGATAGGCAGATTTCATCTGCCAATCTTACAGGCAGTCGCATTCAAATACAGTGCTCACTCATCCTCTGAGTCTGACAGGAAAAGGAGCCTCAGAAACAGTTAAAATTATGATTTCAGCCTAATTTTTTAGTAATTGCCTCATTGGAAACATACACTAAAGCTTTCTGCCCTCAGGAGCCCCCAAGAGAAATGCATCTAATTAGAGATGCTTAGGAACACTTCACTGGTGATAAGTACTAAAGGGAAAATCTGTGATTATTACTGTCACTTCAGTCTGCCCTGTTTCACCTGAAAAATTAGCATCCTCCCAACAGCTCTGGAGCTATTTTGAAGAGGGCAACATCCTCTCTATGAAATTATGCTGCAGACAAAGGTTAAAACAATTTGCTGTGCCACTGTTTGCATTTGAGATAGCATGATGTTCAGGCTTCAGCATTTGTGCCAGCAGAACTCATCTGGAGTTTCTCCAGCCTGAGGCAAGCAAGAATAAAATTCAGTCCCTAAAAAGAAATAATGGAGACTCTTTCTTCCCTTCCTCACTCCTCAGCAGTCAAGCAACTCTAGAAGTTGGCCCCCTTTCAAGAGTGAGGAGCAATATGGAAGAGCTGTATGTTATCCCACAAAGAGAAAGTCATTAAATAATGAAAGGCTGAGGTCATGCCTGTCTTGAGAATGACTGTATGTTGCAAAAATTAAAGGGTTTATTTAAACAAGATCAATATGAAACAACAGAAGTTTTTATATAAAAAACACTGAGCTCTTATCTTGGGGAGGGAAGATAATGGAGGTGTTGCTTCATATCTACCATGAGGGCACACTTCTAACTTGCAAATTGAAGACTCAATTACATGAACAAACATAAAATGGGGCATTACTAGACCAGAGGGTCATTACAACCTTTTGGATATGGTAGATAAAGAGATGGGATAAGTGTGTAACTTCAGATCTTTATCCTTGAAAAAATTAATTTACTCAAAAAAGCTTCAAGAAATCTTCAAGAAAGTCTCTCTTCTGTTTTCTAATATACCAACTCCTCTTATTGTCTCAGTCAACTGTGTTGTAAATGTTGTGAAATATGACTTTAATAATATATGCTGCCATTACTTTAAAATGTTATGTGGGACCTCTTCCATGACAAGGTGTGGCATGTTTTGGAATTTGTTTCATTTAAAATGAATTATATTATTGAAAAATAAAATCCTGCAGGATCATTTGCTGCTCCTTACTGAAACAGAGCTCTGTGGGAACTTAAACAGTACCCAAAAGAGGAAAGTTTTATGCGTGTATATGTGATGGTTCAGGAAGGCTCAGTAACAGTAGGGGATAACTTGCAATAAAAGGCATTGAGCTAACTAGGAATGGATGAATTTGGGCAAAACTTTAGTGTTGACTTCAACACCCACAATATTCACACTGGGCCTATGATATCAGCTAATTCAGCAACAACCAGAGCAACAAAAAAAAATGACTTTGCCAAAAGGATTTGCATCTCAGGTGCACACTGAACATGCAGTTCAAGCTCTGTTCATGGTTGCATTTTTCCTATGGGTGTAACTAGCCTTATTTCAGAGTGTATTAAGGGTAATATTGCTCTCAAGGAGACGGCGATGCTCATACTGTAAATATTTTCTGTGATATATCCTGTCATCTCTAAAACTCATGGAAATCCCAAGGCAGATGATTCTTACACTACATGGAAAATATCCTTCCACTCCTCCCTCAAAGAAGAGTGTGTAATCATCTGCAAGTGGGTTGAGAAAGGCCTTGATGACTGGAGTGAGTAACACAGGGTCCCTGAGACACAAAGATCACAGACATGAGTCCATGAGTCCATTTTTTTCTCCTTTTGTTTTGAAGTTTTTCTATTTTTAATAAGCAGTTTGGCTTTGTTTTCAGCATCAAAATTCAACTGCACTTTAACACTTAGCAACAGGATAATGATGGGAAAATGATGAGCGCCACGTGTCAGTGTCCACCAAAGAGAGAAAATTGCACAGAGTGGACAGGCAGAATAAATAAAAAAAAAATACTATGAGCACATTTCTCTCTGGATTCCAGAAAAGAAACATGTCTTTAATAATACAGTGCATGAAGTGGCTGCTACCTTTCTTAAGCACCAGAATTTCTGTAGGTTTCAGCAATATGAATATTTTTGAATTTTTGGTTACTTTTCTTCATATTCATCATCTCAAAAAAATGCCAAGTACCTGTGGAGAGCGCTTTTTTAGAGAGAGGTTTATACTCCTTTTGCCCTTTTTTTCAATTAAAATAAAGAAATAAAAGCTCTTTCATCGAGAAATCTGTGTTGCAGAGTGTCTTTCAGTACTTCTCACCCGCCCATCAGGTGTGAGAAGCCACCCCACAGCTGTGCGTTGTCTGGCTTTACATTTGGCACTGTATTAACTCCATCCAGGAATCAAAGCAGGTCTGGTATCTCCTGGAAAGAGTTCCTGATATTAGAGAGCAAAGAAAGGTCTCAACAGAAGCTCTAGGAAAGCCCAAGCTAACAGAGAAAGGCTTAGAGTGAGGTTTATGATATGATTATGATGTTTTGAAATACCAGGAAAATACACAGTGAAGAAATAACCAAAGGGAAAAAGGGAAGCAGGAGATTTGTAGTTCTCTTTTCCTGGAGCCCCATCTTGGAGGGCTGTAACAGTTATGCAGCTACCAAAACTTTGTAACTCCACAAAACATGTATATAGCAGAGATCCACTCAAGAGGCTTTGGAGGGTGCAGACAAACAGCCCACGTGAGCCTGACAAATGCCACATCGTCACCTAGCTGAAGCACCTGATTTCCCTACACAAGTACCAACGGTGTCATGGGCTTCGTGGAATGGCCTTGGGGAAGCTTCAGTGCATGGGTGGGCAGCTTGGCAACTCCGTACTTGCTTGCTTTGTGTTATTGCCTTTTTGAGAAAAAACATGTGGACCAAGTTTACTTACTCAAAGAGCAAATCAGTGTTTTACAAACAGCCCAAACATTGCCCAGTTGTGGCATGCATTAAGTGTTTGGATTAGAACTGATGCTCTTTGTTGTCATAACTGTGGTTTTGGCATGAGAATGGCATAAACAAATACCAGACCCCCAGGAGCAGCTATCTGAGCACACGAGTATGATCTGCTCAAGGGTCCAACCCCAAGATAGCAGAGATCAATATCCTTTATTCTGTGCTGGGAAGAGTAATTTGTTTGAGTGTTGAGAAGCTGTAAACCACATGTATTTTGCACATTTGGAACATCATATCTACTTTACACTGAATAAATATATCTGCTTACTAATGATGAGGAGAAATAGTGATT